TTGACTAATCAATGAGGTTAATTAAATTTTAACACATGATTAGAGGCATAGACATGAGACAAGTTCTATATAAATTTATGCACTTGTCTAAAAAGTATTAATTTTACTTTCTAATATCCAATTTGCTACTATTGTTAATGACAATTTGGAAGAGAATTAAACACTATATTCTTATCATTTGGTTCTTTATCTTTCTCATCTTATCCACAAAACTAGTATTATATATCCTTATTATTAAAAGTATTAATCAATATTGAATATAAAATGCATATATATAAGAAAATAAAAATGGATAATAATCACTCTATGTATTTCATATTAATAAGTTATAATTCCATCTTGTGAATTTATAAAATATTATTTATTAGTTTTTTAATATTTATTTTAACTAATATTTATAAATCGGACTTGTAAAACCAATGTCATCAAGCATCTATCTTTATAAAATCTGATAAGATACTTTTTATTAAATGTTAAGCATAAATTTTTCTAAATAAAATTTTCACGGTTAATTTTATTAGGTTTAATTGATAAATATAAAAGAAGAGAGATTTGAATAGATATATTTTAATATTATGTATTGGATTATACTATATTAAGAAATAGAAATAAATCAGATAGATTAACAAGGATTTACGGTCTAACCTACACAAATTCACTTCAGACTAGTTTTTTTTTTAAATAGAAAATGACTATACTTTTTTATAAGTCTATTTAATTAAAAAGAATAGGCCTCAGACCATAACAAAAAGGCTTTTAAGCCTATCAGACCGGCTTATTTAAATAAATATGAATAATTTTTTATCATCATTATGTTATGTACTTTGAATTAAAATATATAAATAAAACTTAGTTATCTTGGAGAACTTATTTCATAAGATGAAAACACTTTATGAACAATGTTATAAGTTATTTTCATAAGTTGTCTTAAAAAATAGTCTCATAAAACTTATGTTAATAAGTAAGTTAAAATAGGTCAATGAAAACAAATTTTTAGTCTCATTGGTCTTTTAGTTTGTTACTCTCTATTTAAACATTATTTGAATTGCTTAATTACATATGTCTAAAATAAATAGGCTTTTATGTAGGCTAATAGGCTAATCAGGTCTTTGAAGTCAACACATCAATGTTCAGCCATGCAAAATATATCAAAGACCTACTACCCAAGCCAAACTTGACTGATGCAAATGAAGTCAACACACCAATGTTCAGCCATGAAAACCGAGTAAGCATGTCATTGATACCTTAAACGATCCACCTCTTTAAAGGTTAACAGTTGGAGCCCTATAGTATGTGACTTTAACAAGACCTGATATATTTTTTTGTGTGAATTAAGCATGTTAGTTCGTGGCTCAACCTTTGAAATCACATTAGAGTGTAGTCAAACACGTCCTTTGATACTTTAGTAGCATTCACATCATGGTTTATTTCTTAATGTTGTCAATCCTCTACATAAATTTTTCCTAAGGGTTTATAATGATTCAGGTTAGGCGAGTGATCCAGATGATAGAATGTCATGCCTCAAGTTCATATTCATGTGTGTACTTTGGTCCTAACCTAGTCTCATGGATCATGCAGCTTGAAGTAACAGTCATTGGTGGATCGCTCAAGTACTAAAGTAGAATATTGTGTGTTGGTCCATACTACATCTGAACTATTGTATCTAGAATCACTTCTAACTGAGCTACATGTCAAGTACCTTGCACCAACTCTTCTCTGTGACAACATTGATGTTGCTATGTTGTCTGGTTCTTCATGTTAAAAATAAACACATTGAGTTGGACATACATTATTCTTTAATATGTACCTGAAATGTCTAAAATGTTAATGCTCTCACAAATCTCTTTGTACCATTATCTTTCAAGACATTTGATTTAAACTCGAAGTTACTCCCTTTCGTTAACCATGAGTTTGTGTGTGTGTGTGTATGTAGTATTAGTATAATCACTTTAGTTAGTTGGTTGAGAAATTATAGTTAAGAGAGTTAATTAGAATAATTAACTCTTCATTTGTGTAAAGAACTACTAAACTTGCATGACCATGTATATACAACAAGCAATCTATTATATACGAAGCAATGAACGCATTCTAATAATGATATCTCTTCATGCATCAAAGTTCATTCATTATTATGTTAAGTTTTTTTATATTTGATTGGTGCTTATAAATTCTTGCAATAATTTTATTTGAGTTTAAAATGTGAATAATTGTATCGATCAAAATATTGCAAGAATTTAACTAATTCAACTAAATCCAACTTAAGGCTTTGAACAATGTACATGTGTTGTGTTGAATGACATAATTTGTAGAATAATAGGATATACAAAATTAGCATTTATATGTGTTCAATCTGGTTTAGAAAATTTTGTTAGAAAATAATATTTCATTGTTTAATAGGTAAGGTATATTCGACATAGTCGAATATAATATGTAAGTGTTAAAATTTATAAACATGAATTTGATATTTTCATTTTAATAAAATTTTCTTTTTCACAGTATAATTTCTCTCTCTCCTCTTTCTCTCACATTCTTCTTAAAAATTCTAATTTTTCCATCAAACTTTACTCAATTATTCTCAGTAATGATCCAGGAAGCAATGCCCTACTAGCAGCAACTTAAACATTAAAGACTAGATTACCAAATTACAAATCAAATACTCCAAGAATGTGTACATACATTTATGTTGGTTTACAAACTTAGTTTTTGGAATCACCAAAGCACACTCAACATGATAATAAAAGCTCTCAAATTAGAAATCTGACACGTGGAAGGTGTGGACAAAAGCTGAAAGAATCATTTCCCACTTGTTGAATTCAAACTTTGTGATATTTTGATTTCTTTAAGGAACTGTTAAAACACTGCCATTGCCCGAATGACACGTAACCATGCTTCATTGACCAATGTCACATCACTTGATAACAGACTTTCTACTATTTTGAACAACTTGAGTGATAAAATATATAAATATATATATCTGTCAATTTTACACATTAAAATATAGTGATAAAACTTGCAAAAAAGTTCATTTATAAAAAAATTATTTAATTATAATAGATAAATTCAATAATTAATGCACAATATATAAATTAAATATATTCTCTATTCAATAAATTTCAAAAATAATTTTTATCTTATAAATAGAATCTGAGAAAATATATAATATAAATTTTTTCATTTATTCACTTTAAAATGTGTAAATTTAAATTTTATTAAAGGAATTTAGTGGATAACTATACAGATATATCTTTTCAAAACGAGAATTCAAACTTGAGATATTCAATATATTCACCTTTAAAAATTATAATTTTAAACATTATTAAATTACTAAAAAAAATTTAAAATATCAAAAAGTAGATAATGTAATTGATTTGTATATTTTTTTTATAGACATTGTCAAATTGGGGTCTTACTTATAAATAAATAGAATTTTGATTTTTTATTTCTACAAAAAGAATTAATTTACATTATAAATTAAAATTGATCATTTATTTTAAGACACTTTTATATTAATTACTTCGTTGTGAGAGAAATAGAGTATTATTTTAAGTAGTATTTCTTTTAACCTCGTTATAATGTTTGCATATACTAAAAGAAAAATAAGTACTATTTGATGCGTAAATTTTGTACATAAATGTTTTTAAAATTTAATATTTTGTACTTGAATGTGTTGGCTCTCATTTTTTTCATCTACTAAAACACATCTTTTAGTTACACCTTCTAAAATACTTAATAATATTAATTAGTGTTATATTTTAATAAACAAATAAAAATTTAGTAATTTAAAATAAAGTTTATCTTTGAAATGATTTATTTAAAAGAGATTCTAATAATTGATATTAATAAAAAATTATGAAAAATAATAAATTTATTTCATAATTTAATGAAATTTTAATTTCTCAAATAGAGATATCTTAATATAGTATTGTTATCATTACACTTTCTCTTGCAAAGCTTTGATTTTCTTCTCTTTTTTTTTTCTTCATTTCTTCTTCTTTTCACACTCTCTCTCTCTCTCTCAAAAGTGTAGATGTTAGTTTCTGTGCTTTTCTTGGACCAAATTGCTCCTACTCAGAGGTGAAAATTGCCTCTTTACTTTGCAATATTTACAATCAAGTTGCTCTCTTTCTAATTGTTTGTTGTTGATTTTGCTGTTTTCTCACTTACACTTTTCTTGTTTTTTCCAATTGCATGCCTAGTTCTTCATTTTTTCACCCCCTTAAGGTTTGGGGGTTTATATGTGGATCATAAAGCTTGTTTCTTTAAGTTAGATAACACACAATCTGGGTTTTGTTTTGTTTGTTTTTAATCTAATTGCATGCTTACATGATCCAATTTTTGGTGGTGAGGTTTGAATTTGATTGGTTTTCTTCATTGAAGTAGATGGTTTTCATGAATTTCTAATTTTGAGTATGGATTCTGTGAAATCTAGTGATGGGTCATTTTGGATTTGTCTCTAGTAAAGAAAGAGATTCATGTTAACTCAATGTGCTGTAGATTGTGTTGCTGTTTGTTTTTGGGAGATTGGAATTTTAATTGGTTTCAGTATTGAGCTTTTTCTGCTACATTTGTTTTATCTTTTTTCTGCATGTGGAATTTGGGAAACTCTGAATTTGTGTTGCTAGTTGAGTTTTGAACAAATCTAGTTTGGTATTGTCAATCGCGGATCGCATAAGTTAGCCGTTTGTTCAAACTCCGCTATCATATAGTACTTTCTAAGTCATCTTAAGTTTCTGGAGATCCTATTTAGCTATAGTTTAACCGTGACAAATTTTGAGTCTTGCATTAGCCCGCCTTACACGCGGGCCAAAGACGGTCCTGAATACTGCTATAGCCGCTACTTATTAACATTGATTTACTACACCCTCAAAGACGGCCCTTAGTACTGCCATAGCCGCTACTTATCAATATTGATTTAGTCTTGTTAAGGTTAAATGTTATTGCTTGAATTGAAATGCATTGTACATCACTCTCTATGCGGAAACTTTTTTCAGGTGAAGGAAATGATTCTGACAAAACAGTACCGATGCGTACACTCGTCTTCATGCCAATGTACAAAAGGTCATTTAAGCGAAGATGTGATATTCTTGGTGTTTAACAATTTGAATTGGAACCCGAAGCTAATAGCTACTCTGTCATGTGTATGCAAATGGTTCGACGATCTTGCCAAGCGAGTTCTATGGAAAGAGTTTTGTCGAACGAGAGCTCCTAAGATGATGATTGATCTCCAATCTAGCGGAACTCACAGTATCGATGGAAACTGGAGTGCCTTAGGGAAGCTGCTTATATACTGTTCAGGATGCAAAAAAGGAGGTTTGTTTAAGAACGTCCATATCCCCGGTCATTTCGTTTACAGGACACGATTCTCTAAAACATCAGGAAAGAGCTTTCTTTTGCCGCAGTGTATAAACGATGTTTTGTATGTGTCTGATCCCTGCGAGCATCTTGACCAAGGGGAAGAAGGAGATATAGGATTCTTCCGCGGAGTTTTCAAGTCGTTTGCAACCACAAACATCAGGAGGATGCTTATTAACAAAGGCGCTCGGCTCCATACTACGGAAGTTTGTCCGTATTGTAAGGCGAGGCTGTGGAGCATGCTGCAGGCTAACATGATACCGCAGACAGCTAGTTGCAGGTTGGGTTCGTATGAAGAATGCGTCGATTATCATGTGTGTCTAAACGGACACATGGTTGGGATCTGCACCTTGTTACCGTTGTCTGATTCAGAAGAGGTGTCTGAGAAGGAGTAA